ATGAGGTCCTGGGTTCAATCCCCAGCACCTCCTCTAAAAAAATAAATTACCTACACCCAAAATAAAAAATTTTTTAATTTAAATTTTTTTTAAAAAAGGATTGTTACTCCATAGCAAAGTATACAGGCAACACTGATCAGTAGGCAGAAACATAGTTGTTATCTGAACCAGGCTGGCAGGTAGACAAGAACCCCTGAAATTTCTTTACTTATTCTATTTGTTTGTTTTTAATTTTTTCCCCTTCTTAGTTGTTCTACCTGAAAAGATCACCCTCCTTCCTTCTTCATTCCACCAGCAATTCAGCAAACCATATCCTTAACTTTCTTTGCCAAAGGCTGATTCAACTCAAAAGCTGGTCCTCAGAATTAACAGCTGTGTGCTCCTTCTGGAAGCTGTACAATTTGTTCTGAAGGAGCCTGAATAAACTGTCATCAGGGGCTGCCTGAGCACCGACTCCACAGCTGTTTGTCATCTCCCATCCCAGATGTCAGGCCAAATTTTCTGCCTCATCTTATCTCTGCCCCTTGCTATCCGAGAGGCTGTTTCAACGTGCACAAGAGAGTCCGCTCAAGAATGCAGGTAAGCGTGGAAGTTCTCTTCAACATGACTTAAGAGGGGACACTGAGCGGTCAGCTGTGGGCAAGCAAACAGTGGCAAAGGTGACAAGCTTAGCGGGGGACAAGCTGTCCAAGCTGCCGGGTGAAGCCAGGGGTGCACCTGAACAAGCAAACTGCACCCTAAACTAGTACTCAGCCAGGGCTCCTAGCTGGCAGCTGGCAGGGAACCAGGGAGCCCAGACTTCCAGTTTGGGACAGCTGCTGGCCAAGGATGAACTGCCGAGTGTCTCCATCCACTGTGTTTGAGGAGTGGTCCAAGACAGGGGCTAGACAGGGACTCTTCCAAGTGCCACCTCTCAGTACATGGTGAAGTGCTCAGTCACTGAGGTAGCCAGCTGGTGACCCTCTCTCCCAATGCACACAAACAGAGCTTGCCCTGAGCTGCTCTGCAGCTGAAAAGCCTGGTTTGGGGGGAAAGTCTTGTTTTGCTTCTGCAGCTGACAATGTGACAGCCCCCAATACTCCCTTCCACAAACACAGGAGTGCTGGTGTGGATTTGGGGTAGCTGAGCACCTTTGTTTTATCTTCCTGGTATTTAAGAGGGGAAAATTAGATGTCTGTGGGTATTTTCCAAGAGTTTAACTTCCCCTGTGACTCTACCTATGAAAGGAAAAATCAACATTCTAGACAAAAGCCCTCACCTTTTTTGCTTGTAGCCCAAGGCAAGAACAGAACAGCCAGTACCCTCCTGGCCTGGTAGTTCTCCCCAAATGGTGCAGAAGGACCCTCTTCCTATCACTCAAATCAGGCTATTCCTCCCTAATCTTTAATGATAATTGCCCCTCACTTTTCCGATCACTTCCAAAATCCTTGTCCTATGCTGACAATTCTTTCAACCTTCTCTCTCAGTGACTGGCCAGCCACCTTATCTAAAATTTCAAACACACACACATTCCACATCCTCCTTCCTGCTTTGTTTTCTCCTTAGAACATAACACAAAACAAACTCTATATTTTGTTTACTGTCTAACTCTCTTATTAGAACAGAAGCACCACGAGGGCAGAAATTGTGTTTTGTTCACTGTTACATCTCCAGCTCCTAGAAATGTGCCCAACACAAAATAAATTATTTGTTGAATGAATGAACAAACAAGCCAAGGGTTCCTGGCCTATTTTGTATTCTACAACTTGATCCTGCATTTTCCACTCACACCATAGACACTTCAAAGACCTCTCACTCACCCCTGACACCAAATTGTGTCCCCAGGTCAATTCCAGAAACCTGCAAAGCCATCTCCTGTTCAATCAAGCCCCTCCCCGAGTCATCTGCTTAGATATGGCTATACGTCCAATCCAGTTGATCTTACCATTGCTCACATCTGTCCCATCTTCCCCACCGCCACTGTTGTTACCTTGGTCCAGGCCACCATCACCCCTGCCTGGATTTACTGAAACAGCTCACTAATCTCCAGTCTCATACCCTTCCAACCCACATTCCCTAGAACTTAAAGAGGAAACTTTCTAAAACTGCAAATCATATCACCTAAGCTGCCTGCTTAAAAGTCCATCAGCAGCTCCCCCTTACCTACAGGATCGAATCCAAACTCTTCCCTGTGTGACCACAGCCCTCCATGTCCTGGTGAACTACTTAAACTGCCCAGCCCACCAAGAAACGTAACCCCAAGCCTTTGCCCACGCTTTCCTCACTGCACCGAATGTTCTATCTCCCTGGAGAGCCACTGCTCGATATCAAGATCCCCCTCAGGGACATGCACCTCTCTACAGCATTCCTGACTCTCTACTCAATGACCTCAGCGACCCTGAGCTCACCCAGGTCAGGATCCTTCACGACTTCACCTGCGCATCCACATGGCCAGGCCCCATCAGAGCACAACAAAGATGTCTGGGGAGTGAGTGAACGTGCAGAAATAAAATCCACTTTCCAAGTCTGTTAAGACAAATCAGAAGAGCAGCTTCCTTTCACACTGCCAGGCTAGTTCTGGAATCCTCAGTCTACTGTATGACGTTCCTTTCTACAGAGTCCTCAACTGGGTATTTTTCACCCCTTATCAGAAAAGCGGATGAGAGGAAAAGCTAATGCCCAACAGTGCACAGAGAAAACGTCTGCCACAAACCCAGAGAAGGGCTGAAAGGAATCTTACATATACAACCTGAACCCCTCTGTATGAAAAGGGTCTTCAAAAACTGTGCTATCATCTCAATTTAGCAGATTTGTACAGTGTCAGGAAAACTGAACTGTACGATTTCAAAAAAGGTCAGGAAGTTGTGGACACATCCTCTATTACTGGAGTCCCATCCACAGAGGTTTTCAAAACGAGCTGAATAAAGCAAAAATCATGGCCTCAGGGAAACTGTTAGAGGAGAGAATACCATAAAAAAAAATCACTGGTTTAGCTAAGCCTTCTGTCTCTCCCTATCTCCGAAGACTTTTCCTTATAAATATATAGTGTACACAAATTCAAAGAAAAAGTTAATTTACTAAATTTACAGTATGTGAGTTAAAAAAAATCAGCAAACCTATTCTAGCATTTTTTGGTCAGTACCTTTGAGACCTTTGATGTATAGGTTGAAAATAAAATTACACAGAAATTAACAAAAATGGGTATTGCCAAAGAGTCAAAGACTTGGCAAATTCCAGACATGCTTAATGATTCCATCTGTTTTTATTTTTGAAATACAAGTAATATACTGTTCAAAGTACCACTTACAAAATCGCTATCATTGTCACACTTAATCTAATATAGTACAGCCCAGCTCCATTCTCTGGAATCTGTCCCATAATCCCTGAGGACAAAGCCTACAACACCCAGATCCTAAAGATGCCAAAATGTTGAGCAGGGATTAGATCTGCACCCCATTCCCCTGGAACCTCAGACTCCAGGGCAGGAGCCACCCTCCTACAGAGGAAGACGCGTGTCACGGCAGAATCTCTCAAGTGAACTGTAAAGTGTAGTTTCTGATCTCATCAACGTAGCACTGAAAGCTCTCTACAGAGAGGGAACTAGCAGGTGAAAATATTTTTCTCCTATACCTGCAAAATCTTCAACTATCAGTAAATTCTTCAACTACTAGCAAAATTAATAAAACAAAGAAAATCAGGAGAAGGATACATTTATCACCAGGTAAGAAGTAAGTAAATGATATGGGGAACTCTGATCACAAGGAGAGAAAGTATCAACTGAACATACAGGACTGTGTCCAGGCTGACAGCCCACAGAGGCCCTCAAACTCAACCACTTACCGTGGCTGATTTATACCCTCACTTCTCCATCTCTGATTCAAGCCGTTACTCCTCTTTCTGAGGATTCCCTTCCCTGGAGCTTTTCATTGTGTGATTACGCAGTGTGGGGGCACCACAGAACACAATACAGCTTTAAAAATGTTGACTTTTTAAAAATCAATGTTATTCTCTACACACTTCCAAAAAAGGTGTTTCCCTCAATGTGGAAGATTTTAGTAAAATATAATGCTTTTTAAAAACGGAAAGGGAGAAGATGTTAGTTATTTAGAATTTGTAACTTTTGGTCCCACTTACTTAGACATTACTTCCCAGACCTCAGATTTTTGGTCCTATGTGAAAATAATAAAAATAAAACAAAAGGAGAAGCTCAGTGTAAACATCAAGAATAGCAGTAAGGAGCTTAAGACAGGGACAAGGGACCAGACACAAATCTGAGGGGATGGGGGTAAGGGGTCTAAACACTGTTCTGGGGACATTTTTCACTTTCAAATTGCCTCATCCTTTAAGAAGTTCAAAATTTTAAAATGCTGAGGTCTATCAGGTAAGACAAAGACCATGATGAGAAAGTATCATTAAATAAATGAAAGCTGAAAACGCAAACATTTTTTAAAAAGAGATCGAGGGGAAAGGCAGTGTGCACTTAAGAGTACCTAATTCAATCTAATTCTCAAGAGTCCTGCAGGGCTGAGCCGGCTTCCTTATCCCAGCAAAGTGAGGCCTAGAGAGGAGAAAGGTTTGGGTTTTTTTTATTCTTTACATTTTGGGGAAAAGGCATAGAAAAAAATGTTTCAGTGGGGCTCAAGGGTGATCAAATGGACTGCAAAGGCAATTCCTTATAGTGCTTCAAAGTTTTAACTGCTGACAGGCTCCAATCCCCTTACATTCATCAGACCTGCCCCCAGAATATTAGAAACGTTAAGAGCCGACTGGCAGGATACACCTTCTCAAAGTTCTCCTTTCTTCTAAAGGTCTCATCTAGGTCAGCACTGTCACGGTGTGAACAGGTCTGTGATATCTGACTCAGTGGAGGAAAAGTCCCACTGGCCCTCGGGTGCCCCCGTGGTAAGGTGTCCGAGACAACCGATCTGCCTCAAGATACTGACACTGGAAAGAGATTGTTTTGTTTTTCCAACACAAACAGGACTAGGGAGGGAGATGACAAGGCAAAGAAATGCACATACCTTTCAACTGGTCAGCAACCACACTCTGGCCGAGACGCTCAGTAACCTTCCCATCTTCCATTTCGTACCGGTCATCTAGGTATTTTGCAGTGGCCTCGGAAATGTGAACCTTGCCAGCCACTCCCAGCTGCTCCATGAGATTGGCCAGGTTTACATCATTGGACCACACATCAAATTTAAACCTCCTCATGCCCAAGATGCCACACAAGACGGTCCCCGTGTGAACCCCAACACGCATGTTCACCATCTCTTTCTTCTCCTGGCAGAACTGCTCGATGGCTCTTATCATGCCCAAGCCCATTTCGATGCAGCAGTAGGCATGGTCGGCCCGGGGTTCCGGACACCCAGCCACACAGTAGTAGCAGTCTCCCAGGGTACTGATTTTCTCACACTTGGTCTCCTCACACAACTGGTCAAAGCGGCCAAACAAATCGTTGAGGAGACCCACCAGGGCATGGGCGGACTTGTTGGCACTCATCTTGGTGAAGCCCACGATATCTGCAAATAAAATACTGACTTCTTCGATCTGCTGCATCTTAAACGGGCGGAACGCAATGGGGGCTTTCTGTATGGAAGACTTTTTCTTCCTGTTCTTGGGGCTGGAGGTGGCGTGCCTTTTAACAGAATTCTCACTCTCCTCGTCCCCCTGTTTCATCAAGTCATCAGCTATAATTCTTGGCATCACAGAATGAATCATCCTCTCTTTCAGGGCTTTTTCCACTTCCAGATCCTTCCCATGCATGATGGACTGTCCCACCTTGAGGAAGGTGCTCCTGGATCTCACCTGTGACATGATGAACAGGTGGATCCCGATGGCATGAACACAGACATGGAGCAGGGCTCGGCTCAGCAGCTCCCACTGTGGGGCCCCCGCTCCAGGCCAGGGGAAGCAGTCTTCGTCTCGGAAATGATACCCAAAGGTCTCAAAAAGAACAGAATAGGCCACTCCCAAAATCAAGCTCAAATACAAAGGTAAGTGCATGACGGTGTAGAGCAAAAAGAGCACTTCAATGCACATGGAAAAGCTCCCCACTTGAGATAAGCAAGTGTCTGCCGACTTGGCTGCAGGAGTATGATTGGAACTGTCAACTCGTCCTGAGAGAGGCGTCAAGACCTGAAACTGGGCAGCCAGGGTCAGGGCAAACACCAGGAGAGTGAGAACCAGCGAGGTCCACACATAATGCCGGGCATACAGCTTGGTGAAGGTAAACAGAAAAAAGCCCACACACACCACGAGGAAGCACAGAGCAGGGACTACCATGACAATCAATTTGGATCTCATATGTACCCCAAAATAGATGCTCCAGAGAAGGCAGGCGAAGCCGATGTAGAACAGCGCATACCGGAAGCGACGCTGGGTCTGCGGGAAGCAGCGCTCCATGCAAGCCTCCTCCAAGTTCACAGAGTCAAACTTGGGGTCCCACCACCGGCTGGAGGCCCTCTCGAACAGCTGGGGCAGCTTCTTCTGCCTGCGCAGGCGGCCTCCGGCGCCCATTCTCCTGGGGATCCCTCCTGAGTCCCCGGAGCTGCTACAGCTGGAGGAGATGCTGTACTTGCAATGTTTGGGGTGGCTGTTGGAGGACAGCTGCTTGGGGTTGATTTTGACCCTCACGCTGTTGCTGTCTCCGCTGGAGTCACAACTCACCTCGGTGCTGTGGTGCTGCAGCAGCTGCTGGTGGGGCGGGGAAGCCATGTTGCCAAGCGCTCGGAACCCTCCCCGGCCGGCCGGGGTCACCGGGACCTGTCAGCGAGACGACCAGTTACACTGGGATCCGTTCCCACACAAGTAAGAACACCTGAAGGCCACGAGCTCTACCGATTCCCTGAGTAGGGGCCCCGGCGGTCTACTGGGGAAGGCACCATACGCTCACAACAACTGTGGGTAATGTCTGAGCACCACTCTACCGTCGTTCCCCGCGCCCCGAGGCTGACCGCAGAC